GAAGCCTATAAATAGACAGCTGGGGCTCATTTTTCCAGGCTCTGAAATTTCGACTTCCTATAGCTCGAAATTTCTCTCTTTTTCTCTCTTCCCCTCTCTTTTTGTATTTCTTGAGATTTTTGTGAGGCATTGTAGTGTGAAGGGTTGCCAAAAAGCACCCAAATCTCCATCTTTGAAGATTAATAGAGCTCGTTCAAGAGGTATTCAAATCAATTTTCTTCTCTCTATTTTATTTCTTACATTTGATAAATATTGTTTATAATAAGAGCAATCATGTAGATATTTTAGAGTCAATTGTTAATTTAAATTTTAAATCATGTAAATAATCATCAATAAAAGGGGATATAATATTTAATTTATTATTTCTTATCGCATTAACTTCATCATAGGGTACCGATTTAGGGCGTTGTAAGGGTGCTTAATACCTTCCTTACACGTAACCGACTCCCGAACCCAATTCTGGTTATGAAGGCCATTATTGGATCTTTTAAAAATCTTTTCTTTTTCCAATGTTTTGAGTAAAACATTGGTGGCGACTCCATAGAACCTATTTTCAAAACCATTGATTAAGGATTAGTCTGGTGTCCGGGCATTCCTTAATTGATGAGATCTTTAAAAGGATGTTTAAACCATTAATCGCAAGATCGGAAATTTTTGGGTTGCGACAGTCCCTTGCTGCCATTAAGAAATGGTCTTTCATTCAGTTGGATGTCCAAAATGCTTTCTTGAATGGATATCTGAATGAAGACATTTATATGAAGATACCATAGGGATACAAAATAAATCAGAAGGATCAAGGTAATCTTGTGTGTAAGCTGAATCGGTCCCTATATGGTCTAAAACAAGCCTCAAGACAGTGGTTCAAGAGGTTCTCTACATCATTGAAATCTCATGATTTTATTCAGTGCATAAGTGACTGCTCTCTCTTCAGTTTTGGTAGTGGAAACAACATAGTTTACCTACTAGTATATGTAGATGACATAATACTAGCAGGACCATCTATAGATTCTTTGCGACAATGTCAAAATCTACTTCACAATTTGTTTAAACTGAATGATGTAGGAGATCTCAAGTATTTCCTTGGGTTGGAAATTGCTAAGTCAAATCAAGGCATTCACTTATGCCAAAGGAAATATACTATTCAACTTTTAGAAGACACATGTTTTAGCAATGCAAAACCAACTGTTGTTCCAATGGACCCAAACTAGCATTTCAACTCAGCTGATGGAGAACCACTTCAAGACCCTTCTGCTTATAGAAGGCTGCTCGGAAGACTCGTGTACATTAGTATATCTAGACCTGATGTTTGCTTCATTGTAAACAAGCTAAGACAATTCATGAGCCATCCTAGGACACCACACCTTCAAGTTGTTCATCAGGCTCTACGCTACCTGAAGGCAACTCCAGGGCAAGGCATTTTTTTCTCTTCCCAATCCAAGTTCAATCTGAGTGCATATGTAGATGCAGACTAGGGAAGCTGTGTTGACACAAAAGATCCACCACAGGTTTTTGTATCTTCATGGGAGATTCTCTTCTAACATGGAAATAAAAAAAAACAAGCTACTGTAGCTAGATCTTCTGCAGAAGCTGAGTATAGAGCAATTGCTTCTATTACTTCAAAATTATTATGGCTCAAACAACTCCTATGGTTCTTCCAAACTCAACCTTAAATGGTAATGGTGTTATGTGACAATATTTCAGCCATATATCTGTCAACTAACCCCATCTCCCATCAAAGATCAAAACACATAGACATTGATGTCCATTTTGTCAGAGAACATGTTGAATCTGGTTTCATCAGGCTTATCCATGTGAAGACAAATCAACAAATAGCAGATCTCTTTACCAAAGCTCTTCCAAGACATAGGTTTGAAGATCTAGCAAGCAAGTTGGCTCTCAAAAACATTTTTCGTCCAACTTGAGCGAGGCTATTACAACATTCCATTTACTAATTGTATTTCAATTTTGTATTCTTTTATTAGTTAGTATAACCAGTTTAACAGGTAGCCCAAGCAGATTCAATTTTATTTCTCATTCCATCATATATTTGTACAATTTTGTTTTTCTGTAATCACACTTAGAAACATTATTGCATTCAGTCTATTTTTTCTTCTCAATCTCCTTCCCTTTCTCTCTATTTTTCCGATCATTCCCTCAGCCGTTGATGAAACTCTGATGTATGTTTCATTTAAATTCAAAAAATATAAAAGTAAACGAATTAACAATCAATATTAACAATAAAAATTAAAGTTATCAATAAAAGTAAATTAGCCAATGTACACAAAGAAAACTAAAACAATGTACAAAATGATAAATCAATCCTCAAATTGACTCAAGACAAGTGGATACACATCAGATATCTTCCAACTCTTCATCGACAAATAAAATTAGAATTTTGAATGCCTATAATTAATTCAAAATAAAGATATATAAGTTAAACATTAGTCAATCATTAAATAATTAAATAATCATTTAAAGTAATTAAATTTATTTAAAAATATTTTACATCTTTCCGTGTGTAACATCCCAAATATTTTAAAATAAAATAATTTAATTTTAATAAAAAAAATATATTATAGGCTTAATTAATTAATTATATTTATGATGTAAATAATATTTTTATTAATTAAATAAAAATAAGTGTTCTAATAAAAGAGTTATATTTCCAACTGAATTAATTTAATTAATTGGGTTAGTGATATGATTAAAATGTTTTTGGAAAAAAATAGGCAACGGGTCAGCGAGGAGTCTTGGGATGGACTCTTAAGCCCAACCCATAGCTTAATAATAATAAGAGAAAGAGGGTTAGGTCATATATACATTTTTTAAAACTCTAAGAATGTCTGTAGAGGAAAAACCTTGAGGAAAATCTTAATGAGTACGTGGAGTAACCTTAGAAGAATAGAGATTGTGCCTGTTGTTTTGAAAGTCATCATCTAAGGAACTAACCAAAAAGTACAAGCTATCACGCTTCATGAAAGTGAGAATCACTAATAGTAGGTGATTGTGTAGTGAAGAAATTGTAAAGCAAGTTGTTGATGTTGTAACTTGAATAACAATGTTTGTGATAGTGAAAAATTTCGCAAGGTTGTGTGAGGACGGGATGTAACCTAGTTTAGAATGAATTAATATCAAATTTAGTGTATAATCTTTCTAACTATATCCTCTTAACTATTGTACTTATTTTATATATATTATTGCATAATCTGTTATTAAAACTAAACTACTCATAAAATATTTTTATAAGATAATTAAGTTTATGAACACTCAAAAAGTTATCTTCTAAAAGACAAATTCAAAAAGTTATCTTCTAAAAGACAAATTTTCTTAAAGGACGTATTTATAAAATAAAAAAAAACATTTCAACCCCTTTTTATTGTCTAACATTAACTTCATACCTCTTGACTTTTATTCCCTTAACACCAAATACATAAATACCGACACACACACATATATATATATATATATATGATAAAAATGGTACATATTTGTTTTAATTTAATTATTGTCTCATATTTAAATTTTGAAAATACAATTATATTAAATACTTGAAAGAAAATTTTTATCACTAATTATGATATATAAAAAATAGCTTAATTAAATAAATACACAATAAATAGATATTCGGTGCCTCGTGTCACTATAATATTTGAAGCAAAATAAGATACTATAGTATATCTAAATTGTTGAGATCAAAGAGGCGTGCAAGCCTCATAATGTCTTGGTAACAACAAAAGGATATTAAAATTTACGAAATGTTAACATACGCTATTTTACAAAATATAAATGAATTCTATCTTCCATACGTCCATTAAAAAGATTAGACTTAAATTTTCATAATTCCTTTTTAAATTTTTGGCTAAGCACCCATGAAATACATGGGTTATGTTTTACACTACAAATAATATATGTCGCAAACAAAGCAAAAATGTCCATAAAATGATTTAACTTAGACATCCATAAAGTTAAATATCATAAGCATTCTTCAGTTGATTTTTTTTTAAATAAAGTATGACACTTTGCTATTCAAAAACATTTTAACATAACCGTGTTAAAAATATATGACAATTTACTATGATAAATATCCATACCCATTTGAAAAAAAAATCACATTTCACGTCTTAATAAAATTCAAGTTCATAAAAAAACGTGTCAACTTTTTAAGAGATAATTCTAACTATGGTCGGTCTAATATTATCAAATTTTAAAGCAAATATTAAAATGAAACTTTTTAAGATTAATAATATCTTTTAATAGAAAAATAAAAATATTTCACAATGTAACATTTTAAATTTTCTACTAATATAATATTTTAATTATTAATTATTTTTATATTTATTGAGGTTATTTTTTTATAATTGTTTTAATTAATTAAATAAGTTTTCATAAAATATTTTAGAGATTTTTAATAATTATAAATATTTTAATTAAATAATAAATATTTATGAAAATTATTTTGAATAATATTTATTAGAGAAATATGTATTTTTATCATATTTTGTTATAATAAATATTTGGAGAAAA